CTTGAGTGATTGACCAGATTACAGATGGATAACCCCAATTTCAATCTTAAAATCATTAGCTACAACATGGGAATGCCAGCTCCTCTCAAAAGGACATTAATCCACATGGTGCTCCAGCACAGGTGGCTGATTCCACTCCACATGGTCCCATAAGGACAGAAGGCTTACTGTAAATTTACAAACTGTGCCATACTTTAATGGACTTCAAATCATTACTGTAAGAGTGTGTTTCTCGTTTCCAGGAACTCGAGAGCTATGAGTGAATGTGTGTCTGGCCTGTTCATGTTTACATCACACTTCAGCCACTCCAGCAGATTTTTTTGGAGACACTTTTGGGTCTGTCACTCCCTACTGTCAACACACACATACTGCTGAGTCCAAACTACAACACACTCGCACTCTAATCTGTACAGTTATTCAAGGCACACTTCAATACTGTACGTAATTTTACAATGTAGTGGTCACTTGCCATTTTAAAGCAACTTGCAATGCACTAAGTGAAGTAATATTTCATGTGACGCAACCAGAGGTTAAGTGCCTCAAAGATACTGGCATTTCAGAAGGAGTAAACTCAGAAATAAACTTGCAACCTTTGTGTTGTCTGCTCGGATTCTTAATCATTAGGCCATCACCATCTGTTTATGTCCCTGTGACTACACTCTTAAAAATAAAGGTGCTTCACGATGCTATAGAAGAACCCTTTTGTCTAAATGGTTCCATAAAGAACCTTTAACATCTGAAGAACCTTTCTGTTTCACAAAAGGTTCTTTGTGGCGAAAGAAGTTTCTTCAGATTATAAAAAGGTAAGAAAGAGATGGTTCTTTAAAGAACCTTTGACTAAATGGTTCTTTGTGGAACCAAAAAGATTTATTCTATGGCATCGCTTGAAGAACCTTTTGAAGCACCTTTATTTTTAAGAGTGTACTTGCTGAATCATACCATATAAATCTAACTTCCAAGGATGCCCACACAGATTCTGCATATGCAGAACTCTCTTAGAACTCTCTAAGAAAGCTCAGCAGACTTCTGCAGAATTGGAACACACAACATTCACAAAGTTCTACAAAGCTTGTGTATAATATTTTTTATTTTTTAAACACTGTAGTGAATTTGACTATGCTTTCATCTACCTAAGTGTGCAATAGACTTTTCTATAATTCAGATACCATGTTCTCAAGAAAAGGTGTATGGTTCTATGGGAGCAGAAAGCTGATGTGTGCCAAAGCCAGTGTTCATCATCCATCACATAAACTGCAGAAAATCTACAAAACATTATATTATCATAAAATGTATCTGCAGGGTAACACTACTGTGCAACAGGTTGTCAACAAGCTTTTTTTTTTAACACTAATAAGTATATCATTTGGTGAGAGTTACAAAATAATAATAATAATAAAGCAGAACAAATCTTAAAAATAACCTGAACAAATGACCACAACTCTAACAGAATGACAGATGTTATCTCTCCACAGTTATCATGGGAAAACATGATACTTATCTTCCCACTGCATCTAAAAATAATAGACAAGGTGTTGCCCAGTCAACCCACAGTCTAACCTCCATCCTTGCAGACAACCATACACCTGTACTGGCGCCAGACTGTGACACACACACACACACACACACACACACACACACACACACACACAAATATAAACACTCCAGTGAACCTCTCATCCCCTACAAGAAAATCAAACAAGAAAGATCTCACCTTTTGATTTTATTAGCAAACATACATGATCCAGTCAAGACCTTGTGTCACCCTTTGTCTTTCCTTCCTTTTCATCTCGTTTTACCATTTCCTTTCAAACTGAGCAGCACTTGCTTTATGAAGACACAGCTACGGTTTCCCTCATGGCCACAGGTAAGTCAACAACCTCCCTCCCTCCCTCCACACACACACACACACACACACACATGCACACGTACATAGCTCCCACTTCCTC